TCATCACTGACCACGAGACTAACTTCACCAGGAAGTTCCTGGACTTCAGTGATGGATACGGCATCAGAATCGACTGGGCCTCGGTCAGACACCCACGTACCAACGGTTAGGTCAAGCATGCCAATGGCATGGTCCTCTAAGGACTCAAGTCACGCATCTTCAACTGACTCAACAAGTATGCCGGGCGATGGGTTGTAAAGGTCCCAGCGATCCTCTGGAGCCTGAGAACAACCCCCAACCGATCCATAGGGTTCACACCCTTCTTCCTAGCCTACGGAGCTGAGGCAGTTCTGCCCTCCGACCTCGACCACAGCTCCCCAAGAGTGAAGGCTTTCGACCAAGACCGAGCCAAGGAGGCTCAGCAAGACGTAGTCGACTTGCTCGAGGAGGCCCGCGAGACGACCGTCATCCACTCCGCCCGCTACCAGCAAACTCTCCGTAGGTACCACGAAAGGAAGATCAGGGGGAGGATACTCAAAGTCAGCGATCTCATACTCCGGAAGACCCAATCAACGAAGGAAAAATGCAAACTCTCTCCACCATAGGAAGGACCCTATACGGTGACCGAAGTGATCCGACCAGGCACCTACCGACTGGAGGACGACAACAACAACGTTCTTACCAACACTTGGAACATTGAACAACTACGTTGTTTTTTCCCCTAATTTTGGTCTTACAACTTTTTAGTCAAACGCTTGCTCCTGTAAACCACCCCAGCCCGAACACTTTCAGCCCGGGTCGCTCGGGGGCTCCATGAGGGTACAATACTAAGAATTACCTCTCTTTTTTACTATCACATGGTAAACAACCTTGTCCCTGAACAGAAACACATTCCATTCCTATGATTGCCCTACGTAACTTTGTTCTTACTCCTAACCGAACGCACCCCGCCACGACCTACAGTTATAAGCAGCCGAGCCTCGCAGAACATGCCCATGTTCCTAAAAGCTATAGCCTATGGAACTAACGGGCAGGTGCGAAAAAGAAAGGACAAAAACAAATGCTATGCTAGGATAAAAATAGGGAACGAATAGTAATTCTATCACAAAAATAGAACTGATGTATTCATTGATACAAAAAAACTATTCACACGGGGACTCACTCACGAACTCAACTATTACATTTTCTAACCACTTCTAATCCAAATACTACTGTGGCCGCTCGACGACATCGCCTGACGCCAAAGGAGAGGCCACGGCACACACCGCTGGACATAACCACCGCCTGGTTCCACTCCCTCGACTTCGGTGAGCGCAACAGGTACCTCACGGGACCTGCCCGGTTCTGCTTCCTCGACTTCGATGAGCACAACGGGTACCCGGTTCCGCTTCCTCGACTATGGCGAGCACAATGGGTACCTCAAGGGCGTCGCACCCATAGATGCTCAGTAGAAGAGCATAGAGCTCCTGACCTTCTCATGCAGTCAAGGCAGCTCCTAGGCAAGGACGCGACCACTGAGGTATGGCCACCATGGCTGGAAGAGATCTCATCAAACTTTATTAACTGGCCAACCTGAGCAGCTGCAGGCACGGAACCCTTCATCAGCACGACCCTAGGCAACTTCCCCTCCAACAAGGCTCCCCCGGTGAAGATCCACCGGAGAAAATCCATACATGGCTCCATCCCAAAAAAGGCCTCGCGGATGGATCCAGCGCGCCACCTCCTTCGGCGGAATCCGCCCCTTCTCAAGCAAAGACGGCCTGCACCGCCCCATACAGCCCCCAGCTCAACATCACACTCTAGATTCATGAAAGGATCTGTAAGTCCTCCCCCTCGCTTACCCTCTCTCTCACTTAGGAACCACCACGGCATACAGGCACTCTCGGTGAGGAAGAAGAAGGAGAGACAATAGTTGGAGAACAGGCAAAGGACTGCGACAAGAAGCCCTCTCCCTCCCCCTATTTAAAGAGGAAATATGATAGCTGAAGAGGGGCAAAAGATTAGAGCAAAAAACTCTCCCCTTCCCCCATTCAATACGGATGGGAAACGATGGGACGCACCCTGACCGATGGGACACACACTGACCGACGGAACGATGCCTGGTCAGACGGAACAACACCTGGTAAGACGAGACATGGCCTGGGTATGGCCCACCACTACCGCACGCCGGGCGCAAAAACCGAAGCGTCACCCCGCGCAGGTGGCTCTCCGCCTCCCCAGGCGGGACATGGAAAACCCCAAACAAAGGGATCTCCGTCAGGAGAGACCATCGGGCTTCCTAAGTCGATCGAATGGCTCGGAAAAACACCGAGAGACAGGTAAGGAGCAAAGGGACGCCCCATGTAAGCCATGCTGACTTTGTCACGAACGACGACCACGGGTGTGGGCAGGCACAAATCACAATAAACAGATGAAAAGACATGTTAGCACAAATCACAAGAAACAATTTTTTCTATAAAAGGACAAGGACAAAAAAGAGGTGTGTTGCCACAAATCACAATTAACAGTATCTCTGAGGAATACTCTATATTTTTGTTACCTATCCCATCCATGATACTTGGATAAAAGGAACCATAACAACGCCACCAAATAGAGCGTGCTAATATAGTTACACTGTTACACTATTACAGAAATAATATTAAGCGTTTAGCTTCACATTGCACTCTTAGTTTTCACCACCATAATCAGTGCCATCTTCCTCTCAATTGAACTAGACTAGAAGTATGCTAACTGTGCCATTTTCACCACCATTTGAAATTTTACTGTTAGGGAGACTGATCAGTTCACCACAAAACTCTGGACTATGTTAGCATAAAGACAAATCCGATTCTATAGACAGCAATTAGGTTTGTGCTGATCCCTCACAAGGAGGGCTTCTAACCATCTAAGCACGGAGCCAGAGTCATTTTTTAGTACAGAAACAAAGCAATGAAAAGTGACTTCGGCCGAGGGCTCTAGCTACAGCACTGGAGCTGTGCCAAATGCACCCATATACTGCAACAAACTGTGTAAACAAAACAAGGCGGTGTCGTGCACCTATGCATAAAGACAACTCAAACTATAATCGTGCATCACAATCCGATTCTATTTCGCCACCGACCCAACAATCTGACCTGACCGTGCTAGCTTTCATATATATATATGATATGATCACAAGAATAATTCAGCTACCGTGAAGTTGGCCAGAAGCCAAGTATGTTTCTGAATAATAATAACAGAAAAGTTGAAATTAAAGCAAGCATCCAGATCCTGGAGTACATATCTATCTAGTTTCAGCTGCGGAGATCCATCATATCATATTTTATAGCTCTTTTTTTTCCATCCAAATTAATTAAACTGACAAAACAAATAAGTAAGGAAGGAACAATGTGGTTATTAGTTTGGATTAGTTGCTTACCGTAGATGTCCATGATGGCCTCCATGGCCTTCTCTTCATTCCTATTGTTGGTAATGGTGGGGATCCAGAGCACCACCTTCTACCTTGCAATCCGACGAGATTATTCTCTTTTCAGCCATGAAAAAGAGGAGGGACTGAGGAGATGCATGCATGGAGTCACGAAACCTAATTAAAAACATTTTTTCTATATGAAAGGACAGGACAAAAATGTGTTGTGTCTTTACAGATCACAATTAACAGACTACAATTTCTTATATAGAAACACAAACACAAATATCTGAAATGTGTTGGCACAAATCATAATAAACAACTTTTTTCTATGAAAGGACAAGGACAAAATGTGGTGTTGATTAATGCTCATCTAACATCCCATGAGACCAATCGAGGCAATATGTCCCTATGCAGTGCATAAGGACTTCAAGAACCGATGATGCACAATTTTTAAGATGGACAATTAAATTATGTAAGGACCAAGCTGTAGGAAGCTTAAATTAAGTTATGTAATATTTTTTTATCACAAAAAAGGATCATTGAAAGAGGCAGTCCATGTATTCAAATTTCAATTTTACGGAAGGTGCATACAAATGTCCTTTGTTGATGTTTATGTATTTATCCAGTCTTAGCAGCAGCCATTTAGATCAACTAGTAGAAAAAAGACAAATCGAGGAGGAAAATGGTTCAACACCACCATATTGCATATGCTTAGAACTACAATTGCGGTGTCAGATACTTGCAATTTACATTATTGTTGATTGCAATTATGTAACTAAATGTTTAATTTGTTTGCAGAGCACTTCAACAACTATGTAGTAGAAAATTAGGATCACATAGTTCAGTGGTATGCCAAGTGCTATATCAAGGAGCAGTACTGTAGTTTATAGGAGAAAATATTTGACATATTTATGCTCTGAAGTAAAAAAATCCTAATGCTGTTTGCATCCAATTAAAATTCCTGACACATTTTGGCTTGATGATAGGATTTACTCTTTTCTATAAAGGATAACAAGTAAGTTTTGCAAATTGATTTTGAAGCCCTAAAAGGAAAAAGGAAAAAGGCATAAGTCGAGAAGTACCTCCAGAACATAATAAAAAAATAGCATGCCGGAATTGGTTCAGCTGATAAAAAAGATTATAAGCAAGATGCTATTGTTCAGACAACACAATCAACAGATGAGACGTGGCCTTGTTAACCTGTAGGTTGCTCAAAGCATAAATACAAAATTGATATATGCTGATCTATAGCACTAGATACTAAAATTAACTAAGAACTGACCTCTTGTAAACCTAGATCTTCGTTAATTTTTCACAGAACATTCTTGTGCTTTCATAGTACCTCGTGACCCAATGGCCTCTGCTTTGATAGTCCACATTCCTCAAGAGTTTTGAACAGATTGGATACAGCTGTTCTCTTCTGATTCTTTTTCCCATGCTAAACTGTACTAGCAAAATTAGCTACCCCACAGATTATCTCAAGAGATCCAAAATTACTGCAATCTGTCATTGAGCTCAATTCATTCTGCAGGTGCTTCACATTGTATACAATATCTGCAAATTCTACACAAAAAAATTTGTAAGTTTGTAACAAAAAACACTGGAGGGAAAAGAAAAATGGAATCGGTTTCTCTTTTCTTTTTTGTGCATTGGGGGTGAGGAGATAGAAACCTTAGGCAGTAGGAACTCCAATGATACTACCATTTGATTGCTGCAATGTTTGTAATGATAAAGCAATCTCACTTGCCCACTCGTGGTACCACAAAAACCTGCAACAGAGAGCAAAATACACAAATTGGTGTAATAATTAAGGAATTAATAGTACATATATGATCAACTTTACAGGGCCACCTTTTGTTAAATTTTTTAGTGTCAACGGGAAGCTGTGATTCAGGCCTCTGAGGATCAAGCCAGCAGGGAACCTTCCATGCTGTGGCTTCTTCATTCAGTACAATGGTGACAGGACTTTTCAAAATTTCCTGTCCAAAATGCAATTAGCATGTCAACTGTGTTACCAAAAGAGCTAATGACTTGGACACAAACAAAGCAACTGACTCCCTTTGGTACTGAAAGACTGAATAGTTACTGAAAGGAGGCTGTCAATCAAGTACCATGAGTACCCCAAAATGTCCACCTTTTGTTTTCTTCATTGCTATCCAACCTGTAGCGGAAACCTAAATATGAGTTTGGTACTTTGGTCTCTCTTAACAATGAATAAAACACTTCACACAATTCACAAAGAATATATATATCACAAACCACAGTTTCAAAGAAACCATTCTGTTTATATGTGCAAAATTATGCCAACAATTAGTTAAAATCTTTCAAAGACCAAAAGGCTACACCTCAAAGACCTCAAGTCGCTTGCAAAGCTGATAATAGCTGGTGTTGGTAACTATGACATTGATTGGCTAAAGTTTATAATATGAATCAGGAAATTACAATAGGCATTAGATCCTATGATAAACAGACCACTGAGTTGTACAACAACAACCACACATAGAGCAATACAATTAATGACTTTGTGCATTCTCAGCTGACACAGAGGTCAGCGATTACCTCTATTATCTAAAAATAGGTCACTCTTGGTCATGGTAGGAGCCAAATTATCTTTGGTAGGCACGACAGAAAGCACTTATGAATATATAGAACAAGGCAACTAGCCCACAAGTTAATTTAATGTCATGCACCAGATCGTCAAGGCCAAACTAATTTCATAGGCAGTGTATTTGTTTTCTTTTGGATGGCATGAAGAAATCATTGTCATTCAGTGGGGTCAACACGCACACGCACATGCACATGATCGGAAATGTCCTTGTTCGGCAAAACTAAGATTTGGCAAAATTAATCTGATCAGAAATCACCTGAATGCACCAGATTTGGCATGCATGACATGCTGAAACCCTTAATTCCAACTAACATGAAGCAGCAAGCAAAACCAGATCTACAGAGACCCCTAGAACAATCAATCAAACAAACAACTATAGAATGGAAAAAATGTTGTTTTAAGTAAGGAATCATAAAAACTGCACTATAAACTCACCAAATAAAGCTAACATGGAAAATTTTCTATAAAGAAACTGAGCTACTGTCAAGAACAGCTTGCATCACTTTCATGTTTTATTTTACCGGCATGAGTTTAAGATACTACTGCAGTTTTTGTACCTGCAAGGTTGTAACTCGAATGGGCACAATGCAATACATCAACCACTGAATGGATGGACCTGCTACAACTAATGTTTCAGCTACTTGTTGTACTAGCACAAGATTAATGATATCTCTATTTTGCTATCTAGGAATAATTTATGTAGAAAAATAAGAATAGAAAAAAACTATAAAGAGATGTTAAATTGAAACAGGTGAGATCGCAAGCATAAACATGCTAATTGTCCCAAATCCATACTGCACCCACACCAAAGCATTCTATTTCTATGAAAGGCTGACCACTCAACTCAACCCAGAGCACGAGATGCAGCCAGGGTTGCCCCTGAGGGCACAGGCCAGCAGGAGCCCGAGGTGGTTTAGGTGGCTGGTTGTCTCAGCAATTAAGAAGTAGTTGAGAGGATAGAGTTAATGCAGGAATTAGAACCAAGGAGCCAGCCGACTCCTATATGTATCCAAGACTCAGTTGAATGAAGTAAGCAATGAACAAACCTATTCCTAATCTCCTGTTCTCTCTTAATCTCATCCCCTTCATCTTAATCTCATCCCCTTCAACATAGGGGCGTCCAGGGATAAACCCCATGCCATTATCAACCCAAGCTACGAGCTTCAGTAGTCGAGGGCCAGCTACCTTGAGCACCAACGCCCTTGACACCATCAATAAGCAATATGATGCAATTTTGTGCAGTGAGTCTCACAGAGTCACAGATGATAGTATTGTCTCACGAGAAACACATGATGCAATATTGTGAAGTGAGCTCCTTCCATTCTAGCATCTGTTCTAATCTGACATACTGAAACTAGTCTAAAAGAATGAGGAGGAGTTTCAGGTTTAACCACATGAAGTCCAGAGTACAGATTAAAAATTTTCAATTTTTCACCACTTGTTTGATCATAGTAGATATCAGATGAAGTGAAAGAGATATACAAGCAAAAGTTGAAACACTACCTAGAATCTTCCCTTCAACTATTGCAAGACCGAACACCAATCAAATTGGGAGATTCTGATTGGAGGAAGATAGAAGCAAAACGCCAACTACGGAATTTACAAATGACCCTACTAACAGTACACATGAATGAATAGGACGATGTTTTTACAAGACCTAGACCCTCTGTGGCAACTCATTAGAGGTTGACAAACCAAACCATGTAACCTTAATCACAACAATTTATGTAGAGTTCATTCATGCAAGTACAAAGTAAACAGAGTTAGCCCATAGAGGAGAGCTCAAATCAAATCCTAGAACAATCAATCAAACAACTACATAGCAAAATTAGACAAGAGAAATGTTGTTAGTTAATAGGTGAAGCAACACCTCCATCCATTTTGGGCAGTAGATCCGGGCTCTAAAGCACAGAGCCACAGAGGAGAAGCAAGCCAAACCCACAAGCCCGATCCCTCCTCACAAGTACCTCGTGAGTAGCCGAGCAAACCACACACGCAAGCTACTAGCAAGCAAAAGTCGGGGAAGAGGAGGTGTCTGAACACAATGGCGCCCGGCGACGGCGGGCGGAACATGGAGAGCACAGACGATGCGATCTGTTTCACCACCGCCCCCCACGCCCCTAGATGCGGGGGACCAGACCCACGACCACGACGCGCTAGATCCCGACGACGGAGCTCAGGCGGCCGCGAACGAGCCTCCAAATCGGCGAGGAGAGACTCCGACCAGCCCTCCACGGGGTAGAAGGCGGAGTATGCCGGAAGAATCACCCCTTCCTCTGTTGGTGGTGGTGCGGTCTCAAGACTCTTGACCCAATAAACAAGCAACACAGAGCGCATTTAATCTAGAAGTCATCCAACGGACAGAACGTCGCTGAGAGGGCCCTGAATTCAAAGCGATCAGTAGGATTGGAAAAGTGATAAATTTAAGGGTTATTTGGATGGGTACCATTACAATTCTCATAACTTTGAGATATACCATTAAAATTCACCTATTTTGATATTTACTATTATAATTCAATGCTTCACTAAGTTTTGCCATTTTTTACGTCTTCTAGCTGCTTGGGCCCACTGGCAGGCATATGCGTACTGTTCGCTTTTCTATATGGACGTATTTGCTCCTCGTCCCCAAAGTTGAAAGAGCCTCGCGCCTGCGGGCCCCATCTCTCGATCTGTTTTCTTCCTTCTCGCGCCACTCTCTCTCTCACTCTCGTCCTCCAACTCGGCGATAGCGGTGGAACCCTAACCCTAGCCACCGGCGTCCCGGAGCCCGCGCCTGCGTTCGAGTCAACTGTCGCCGCCACCCAACTCCACTACCGCCCTTCGCACTTTTTGCTGTGTCCTCCCGGATCCCTGACGATTGGAGCCTCTCCAACGACCACACGATGGTGTTCCATTGAGCGCAATGGCTAACCCCATGGACATGGAGCACAACGAGGAGAGGTATGGATCTCCAACCTTCAATCTCTTGAGTCTAAGTAGCGATGCTAGTAGGTCGAGGAATTGCGCCGCCCTAGTGTATTTTTTGTGACTTGTTTGTTTGCTGCTAGGGTTCGGTTGTTTTCCTTAGAGATTAAAGTTGAAGGTTTCTGTACTACAGACAGTAATGGTAGGAAAGCTTACACGAAGGGTAGTGTGATTAAATGGGATGTGGAGGTAGGATCGTTCACTTTTGAGTTGCTGATGCAAAGCTTGACCAATCAGTTCAAATGGTCCCCTACCTAGAGTCCTTGTGTGTGGTTCTTTGACAAAAGGATGTGTGAAGACGTCAGACTAGTTAATGACTTCTAGCTGAATGATGTGTTTGAAATGTATAAGGATCAGATGCATTGCCAAGTTGTTGTAGGAGTTTTTGAAAGAAAAGTTGCAGATGTTGATGAGTTTGCTACCCTAGAGCCTCTTTGTGTGATTCCTCCTGTTGAGCATGAGAATCCTATTCTAGATCCCAATAGGCATGAGAATCCTATTCTAGATCCTGCTGAGCAGCCTAACCCTCCTGTTAGCCCTGCTACCAAGCCTACTGCTGAGCCAGATGAAGGACCAGAGTATCCTTTAGAGCCTGACAGGGAGCCAGACATGTTTGATAATGAGGAGTATGTGGGTGTCGATGATGAGGGAATGTGCATGCCAATACCTCCTCATCAGTACACTAACAATGCATAGGCTGCTAATAGTTCTCACCCACAACCATATGCTAATGCTGATGCAAATGATTCTGGTGCTGCTGAAGGAGGTGTTCCTCTTGAGGCAGAGATTGATGATGTAGATCCACAGGAGGTCTATGTGATTCATGATCTATAAAAGCCCAAGATTGTGAAAGGAGGGCTCTTTCCTGATATTGTTGCATTCAGGAAGGCAATTAGGCATCATGAAGTGAAGACAGGCTTTGAGTTTGTTAATCTGCAAACTAACCAGACTAGATTTATTGCCAAGTGTAAAGCAAAGGGATGTCCTTAGCGTATACATGCTTCTAGAAATTCTTATGGCAAGACAATAGAGGTAAATTTGTTATTACTGTTGGAGTTGTTTGTTTATTAAATTTGTTATTTATGCAACTAATGTCATATTGCATTTGTTTGTGTAGATCAAAAGGCTACCTTTTGAACACAACTGTCCTACCACAAAACTCAGAGAAGGGAAGATGGTCACCCAAGGTTGGTGTGCAGATAGGTTGGCGTACTAGTCAAGAAGAATCCAACCAAAGATGCAACCGATCGCAGGGGACAAATTGGAGGGTGACTATGGCATTAAGTTGAAATACTCTAAGGCATGATTAGGTATGAAGGTAGCTTTAGAGTAGATCCATGGTAAATATGATGAGAGTTTTCAGTTGCTTTTTAATTGGGCTGCTCAAATTGAGAAAGTATCCTCTGGTAGCTTAGTAGAGATAGAGTTAGAGAAGATTGGCACCAAAAACAGATTCAAGAGGATGTTTATTGCTCTTAGACCATGTGTGGATGGATTCTTATCTGGTTGCAAACCTTTTATTGGGGTAGATGCTTCCTGTTTGCATGGTAAATACAGGGTCAGTTAGCTTCAGCTACTGGTGTGGATGGACACAATTGGTTGTACCATATAGCTTATGCAATTTTCGAGTCAGAAACTGAAGATAATTGGAAATGGTTTCTACAGCAGCTGCATAAGGATGTAGGAGATGTTCCAAATCTGGTTATATATACAGATGCATGTAAAGGACTAGAGAATGCAGTGGGGTTTGTCTTCCCACAAGCTAAAAACAGGGAATGCATGAGGCATTTGTATCAGAATTTTTTGAAGAAGTATTCTGGTGAGGTGTTCACTGATCACTTGTACCCTGCAGCTAGAAGCTACACACAAGGGCTGTTTCAGTGGCACATGAAGAAATTTTTTGAGTTTGCACCTGAATCCATTGAGTACCTTGAGGAACACCACAACAGGATCTGGTACATGTGTGCATTTTCAGAAAACAACAAGTGTGACTACTTGACAAATAATGTTTTAGAGAGCTT